AGATCACTTTAGGTTGTGGTAGTCAGGGAATGCTATGGAATATGTGGAATTTGAGCTATGTTTTAAAATAGTGAATTCCCAGTCTTTTGTTTCTTTTGTTTATACATATGGCCCAAATAGAAAATGATTATATTTTACAGCCCTGTAGAAAATGGAGAAGAGGAGATTAACTCCGGGGCCCTAGCTACCCTCCAAAAACCAGAGGAGTCACTAGCCTCTGCCTATCTTTGCCCCATTTGTAGGACATGTGAAGCTCTGCAGTCATTTAAAGTTCTGTGACATTGGGCAGTCACTTAACTTTTCTATGCTGTTTCTTATCTGTAAAATGGGGATAAAAATAATGCCTATCTCAGACTGAGGTGAAGATTAGATGAATTCATATGCATAAAGTTCTCAGAACAGTGGCTGCCACACAGTGAGGCTAATGTAAGTGTATTAGTGCAAATATTGTTATTATAGATAAGATTTGATAAGATGAAGAAAAGACAGTTATTATTATAGAGAAGATGTAGTAAGGGGAATAGAAAGAGCATTCCATCCTGAAGGAAAAATAATGGTGAGCAAAAGCATGGAGGAAGAAAGAACATTTGCTGTACAGTATTTGTTCTTGGGCTTCACTGAAATAACTCTTTCATTTTCTCCAGTGTATCTGTTCCCTCTCTTCTCTTTCTAACCTGCCTTACCTGGATGCCAGCTCCCTCTGTTACTTTGTCTTCCTGTCCAATTGCTGTGGATTGATATTGGTGAGACAGAGGAGAAGACAATAAAGGACTTCACACTGAGAATAACTCAGGTTGAGGCCACCAGCTATGACTTTTATTAACTTCTCATCCACCCCGACCATAAATCTGAATCTGTCTTCCCTCCAGTCTTACAAAATGACTTGTAAAATGAGGTTCTCTTCGTGTTTAAGACGTAACTCCATCTAGATGTTTTTTTAAAACCCCTTTCTCTCCCTTCTTCTGAAACCTTACTCATGTCAATTATTCTTTATGTTCAACCTATATTAACATCCTTCTGCCCTGAAACCATACTCAAGCATTGTCCATTCTGAAAATTCTCTTTAAACCTCTTTTCCCTGTAGTTGTTTTTCTATCTTTATTTTTTTTTTTGTCCAAAGTTTTATAGTCCTCACTTCCAACTCATGTCTCAGACCCCTGTAGGCTGACTTCTGTTCCTCCGAAATATTTCTCTGTTGAACAATTCTTTACTAGCTGAGAACTCCAGAGGATAGTTATGAATTACCTGTTTTACCTCTTCTGACATGGTTGATCACTCCTTGAAACTGGCATTCAAGACATGACTTGCCCTTGGTTTTATTCCTATTTTTTCATTTTTCTTAGTCCCTTTGTAAACTGTATTCCTCTGTTCCTTCTTTAAATGTTAGTACTTTTTCAGATTTGGTCCTCTCATTTGTTTCCATATACCACATGGAACCTATACTCTTTTACTTTTTGACTAGGTAATCCATTAGATGGTTTGAAATTTAAAAGGTACTAAAAGGTATATTTATCAAGAGATTTTTATCCCAGTTTCCTTTCCTGGAGGTAATCATTATTAACTTTTTGTGTGTCCTTCTAGAAATACCTGAAAATAATTACAACTTTTAAAATTATTTTTTAAATAATTTTAATTTTACCCTGTCCCCCATATTTTTAAAAAATCATATTTTAAAACAATGAATTTTGAATTTTATCTTCATTTTCATGAATGGAGATAATTAGGGGTTAGTCATTGGATAATGTATAGTCCAAATTTAAGATCATTTGTTAATACTACTTGTTTTTTATTTACCTTCACTGACCCTGACTAGGCTGGGTGCTTCTATAGCACATATTATATGGTAGTTAATTCCCCACTAGACAGTATGTTCTTCAAGGGCAGGGACCATGTATGTCGCATTCCTCAGTGTCTCACAACATCAAGCATACTGTGTACCACAGAGGATGTACATAAGAAATACTTTTATACTGAGTGAGTGAACAAATAAGTGGGTAAATTAAAATTAGTCTCTTATTGCTTTTGCTATCTTTCCTTTTTTTTTTTCTTTTTGGCCGCTGGCTGGTATGCAGATCCAAACCCGTGACCTTGCTGTTATCAGCAACATGCTCTCCCAAGTGAACTAATCGTCCACCCCTTTCCTTTTTTAAACACTATTTTTTTTCAAGAGGACCAGCCATTTAATTATATTGAGATGTTTTTGTGTGTGTAATCATTCTGTTGTCTCAATTAGACAATGAAATGTTTCTTAGGTTAGGATAAATGATAAATACAGAGCAATGCATGGTAGAAGTCTTGAGGAGAGAGTAGGTTTTATTATTGTTGTATCATTTATAAAGTATGAGATAGGATTACTACTAGCATTAAACCAGTAGCATGTGATTTCTTGATCTTCTTTAAGAAATGTCAGAAGTTCAGAAAAGGCAATCTTGTCCTTCAGTGTCCAGTAATTATGTGTGTGTTCTTCTAGATATTTGAATATAAGTGTTTTGCAACTATTAAGTTTTCTGGGTTCATAAAATCAAAGTAAAACATAAAAATTAGTGATTAAGAAAAAAGTATATGGTAAAAGTGAAAATAGAGCGTTTTTCACCTATACGAACATGGGGGACTTCTGGAACATTTCTTTAGGAAGATATGCACGGAAAAGGGAGGGTTTTTTTTCACATTTGAGGAACAGATTTTAGTCAAGAAATAATTATCAGAATTGGAACTATAGCGTTTGTCTTTGGATGCTTAGTCATTTGTTCATTTATTCATTTGTTTGACAAATGTTGAGTACCAGGTACTCTTCTACAACAATCCTTTCAACTTTTAATGACTCAAACTTCTCAATATGTAAGAAACAGTATTATTTATTTACACATGCACTTTTACTCCACTTGAATTATATATTATTCCACAGGAATCAGTTATAAGATGCGTGATCTTGCATAATAGCTTGCAACCACTACCACATGACTGCTAGCTTACTAGCTCACTCTCTCCTGGGTTTGTTCTCTAGAGTTGAACTTCAGGGGATTAATTCACAAAGCAATTTGTGTGGAAACTTCCTTTATATTTGGAATTCAGTTATTTCCCCTGCACCTCTGCCTTTTTAGCAGGGACTAGGGAATACAATTTTAAATTAGTCTTTCGTGCAATTATGTAGGAATGTTTGCTGTTTCTGCAAACAGATAAATCTTAATTTTCTATTATTTCTCATTGATGTTGTCTTTTAGCCAAAATACCATAGATTTTTCTCACAGAAAATTTAAAAAAACCTGTACTACCATGTATGTTTATAATTATTGTTTAGTATATTTATTCTATATTATCATGTTTCTGATGTAAGACTTATGCACACATATTCTCTGTTCATCCTACAATGTTCTGCCTGGTCTATTAGAACCAAATTTAGAGGTAAATTTAAAATGCCAAAGGTTCAGGTGTTAAGAGGTCTCTCTCCTCTTGGGGTGTTAAGATAGCCCCAAAGACAGAGTTTAATTGCAACATGATATAGAGTGCTAGCTTATTGATGAGTTGTATTGAATGATCTGTGTTTGGATGATTGCCAAGATTTGCACCAGCCCCAGACAAAGATTGTTTTATGTGTGTGTTGAAATGGTCACCTGCTGTCTCTCATTTTGATATTGGACTTAAATCTGTAGGAAGAGTTTTATGGAAGGAAACTGATTCTTGCTGATAGAGAAGAAGTGGAACAAGAAGCAGATGGTATTTTAAAGGATGCTGATATCAGTGATATTGCATTCCTTGTGGTTGGTGATCCATTTGGGTAAGTCAAAGTAAATGTTTTGAGTTTTTAATTTATTTACTTTTTTTTTTAATTAGTAAGAATTATTCTTTAATTTTAAAACTTTACTTGCCAGGTCCTGATAAGGGATTGTATTTACCTAAGCTCTTATCTAAAATTTCATAGTTGAAACTTTCATTATCTTTAAAATTAATGAAGAAAATCTGCTTGGTAAAGATATCATCATATGGGGCCGAGCCCGTGGCGCACTTGGGAGAGTGCGGCACTGGGAGTGCAGCAGCACTCCCGCCGCGGGTTCAGATCCTATATAGGGATGATTGGTGCGCTCACAGCACTCACTGGCTGAGCGTGGTGTGGCCAGTCTCAAAAAGGACCAAAAACAAAAACAAAAACAAAATTAAAAAAAAAAAAAAAAACTGAGCTGGGGTGAGACAGGGAAGGATACATTTTGGCCGGCCCGGTGGCGCACTGCTATAGTGCGCCGCTTGGGAAGTGCGGCGGCACTCCCGCCGAGGGTTCGGATCCCACATACAGACCAGTTCCCGCTCACTGGCTGAGCGAGGCACGGGAGCAACACCGAGGGTTGCGATCCCGTTGCCGGTCCCGGTCCGGTATGGGGGCAACACTGAGGGTTGCGATCCGTTGCCGGACACGGAAAAAGACAAAAAAAAAAAAAAAAAAAAAAAAAACCATAATCATAGGAATCAGAAGAGTTTGTTCTAATTTGAGTTTCACCAATTATTGGTAGGAGAGATCACTTTACCTCTTCAAACATTACCATTTAGGAATGGAAGGTGCTTGTGCAGCCTC